AATTCAAACAAATCAATTTCTTTGTTTTAAGAGCAAATTAAGTCATATTGGAAGTAGATGCTTAGCTGTTCATCTGACATTTTGTCACTTGTTTTCCCCTTCCAATCCTAAGGCTTGCTACATTCATGGTATATAAAAAGGTTCTTTAACGCTCTCAATGAATACGATCCATGAAAAACTGGGTGTTACTCCTTACAGCTGCTCACTTAAATTGGCTGCATGAGCCTGCATTAATATCCTCCAAATATGTGAAGCGGCGCTATCACCCAACAAGAAAACAAATATGTGCAAAAAACAAATATAGTGAACAATACTACTGTGAGGAAAAAAATATATAATATTTTTCAAATATTGTAAAATGTTCTAGTCAACTGTTTGTGAATCACAAGGTGATAATCTAAAAAAAAAAACTCCATGACTAATAAAGTAGCAAACGTCCTGTGTCAGTGTGTAAAACACATTGAAACAAAGTGTTCATGAATTCATTAAACGCAGGCAGCTCTCTCCAAAAAAAAAAAAAAGGGTTTTTTTTGTTTTTAACTCTTTAAAAAAAAAAAAGTGTTGTCTTTGTTTTTAACTCTGCCCACTCTTGTAATTTCTTGCTGAAGTGCTCATAAAAAACACCAGTGCTCTAATAAGCCTCTCACCTCCGTGTTCAGACCCTTGGGTCTCAAAGCGCTTCTTATGCTGGGCACACACCTTACAACCATCGCAAGACTTTTGTCTTGCGATGGTTGTAAGGTAATTTTAAAAAAAATGTACGATCTGCCTATCTTGGACAGGCAGATCATACTTGCGGCGATCGCAAGCTGCGCCCCCGAGGGGCGGGCTTCCGATGACCGCAATGCCAAACAGGGAGTGCGGCCTTTTATCCCCCAAACAATGATATGTTCTGAAAGCAGAGGCCCTGCAGAATAAAAAAAAGATGCGAGTTGCAATTTTTTATGTTGCACCGTATTTGCGCAAATGTTTATCAAACCAGTATTTTTAGGATAAAATACACTAGAATGAAATTTAGTGCACAGAATGGCTAATTTTTTTTGGTACAATATAAAAGACGGGGGTCACGCTGGGCAAATACATACTAAACATGTCAAGCATCCATGAAACCACCAAAAACTACAATAAGCAAAATTTTCCATAAGCCACGCTTTAAATGCTTTTACGGCTCATCAGTTTAGTGCTATCAGTGATTGTTGGGCCTAGAATTATTGCTCACTCAGACGCTCGCGACGATCCATAACATGTGTGGCGTAATTTTTGTTTTTGCATGTAGGCACATCCGACGCGTGTTTGTGTTGTATGTGCATGCACGTGGGGAAAGGGGAAACAAAAAATGTAAATGCAAAATTTTTTATTTGTTACTTTAATTTTTACACTCAGCTTTAATTTTTACACTCAGCTTTATTGCTATCACATAGCAGGCTAAAAAGCCCCTTATGTAATAGCACATATGTGACAGGTCCTCTTCATGGAGACATCAGGGGTTTTTCATACCCCTAATGTCACCTAGGGACCCCAAAGAAGCTGGTGAAGCAGAAATCTGCTTCAACAGCTTCTTCTGGCTCTAAGGGGTTGTCCACACCACTTGCAGTGCGTCCCAGCCAGATTCCAGCCGGAACGCACTGCATCACATTGCAGCCGGCTCAATTTTTGCCATGTAGGAGGGGGAGTGGTGGGCCATTGAAGTGAATGGTGCCATAGCCACACCCTCCGGCCACAAGCGATCACCCGCACGGGATCGCAGGGCACATTGTGCCTGCGTCCCGATGCAGTCAAAATAGTGCTTGCAGCATTTTGACCACCAGAACGCACTCCAGGCAGAATGTGCCCTGCGATCCTGTGCAGGCGATCACATTGCGGCCGGAGGGCGTGGCTACGGCACCATTCACTTCAATGGCCCACCACGCCCCATTCTGCCCGGCACAAAAGTGAGCCGGCTGCAGTGCGTTCTGGCTGGAACACACTGTAAGTAGTCTGAACAGGCCCTAAGAGCCAGAGACTGTACAGTGACACCAGAAGTGATGTAATGCACATCACTTCCAGGTCCAGTGATTGGAGGAGAGATCCGCAGCTAGAAGCCACTGATCTCTCCTCCGATCTGTCAGGGGAGAACCTCCATGCGTGGCCTGGGCTCACGAGGGACAGATGAGCCCAGGAAACTGACGGTGGCACCGGCGGCCGTGGAGGAGGGGGGCACAGCGCCGCACCGTACAAGCGATTCAGCGCCTGTACAGACGCCGGATCGCTTGTATTTAAAGAGCAATCGTCAGCTGTTTAACACGGTACCAAGAACATGGCTTCAGGAGCAGCCGTGTTCTTGGTATAACCACTTCCAGCGGATGACGCACAATTACATGAACCCACAGGAAGTGGGTTTTTATTTATATATTTTAAAAACACACTAGTCATTTAAAAAACACCCCGCTCTCCTGCTTACCTGTTTTGCAGGAAGGGGGGCAGCATCCCTGGGTCCAGTGGTGAATCAGTGTGATCTGCACTCTGGCTGATGAAGACATACTAATCGATCCCTGAGAGTTAGCAGAGGCACCACTAAGGACCGATCAGTATGATCTGCAAGAGATACAGATCATACTGATTCCCCACTTGACGACCAGGGAATGATTTTCATTCAATATATTGCCTGTTCGGCCATATATTAAATGAGATGCGGGCGCTTGCCAGGTTTAAAAGATGGCCACCGCTACTCGTGGCAGCCCTCTTTAAAAACTAATGTACAGTGGAGAGACCCCTGGGGACACCAGAGGGAGGCATCCAAGGTGAGAGTCTGGAGCGTGCGGGCCCTGGCCTGCTCCGGGGGGCCCGGCCACATCCTGGCCTGTCACTAAGTTGTACGGCCGATACCCATGTAAGGTGCACAGAACCCTAAGGCTGGCCAAGCCCCTTACATCAATATCGGCCATATCTGGCACAGCCAAGTCTTAACCCTCCCAATGGGAACACCCCTTAGGGTCTTCAGGGACAGGGCTCCACTAGCAGATGGATCACAGCCCTGGACCTGTATAGCACCCTGCAGCTAACTCAACACAAGGTGAATGCACCTTGCTTGATCCAGTTTGAAGCTACATTACAGGCCAGCCTGGTGGGGTCTCCCTAGGCTCAGCTGAGGAGGCAACAATCCTGAAAGCTACAAAAGAGGGTGCCGCAGTGGGAATCTTGATAGACAATCTGAGAGATTTCCCCCTCACTTCATGTTGTGTCCCTGGGACAGGAAGGAAAACAAGACCGTGGGGGAAAAAAAAAAAACACAAAACTTTTCTATCCAAAACTACTTCCCTATTACAACCATTTAACATACATGAACTAAAGCCTGCAAGTGTTCATGGTAATACAAAATGTTGACATTTATAAAATTCAAAGCATTATACCACTACAATTTTTTAAAAATGGCCCGTACTGCATACACAACAGTGCCTTATGTTAAAGGGGAGCACAGACCCCTGAGGCAGAAACAATTAGCTTTATTATTTATTTTTTTTAAGCTTTTAGGGGGTCAGTTTTAAAGCAAAATAAAAATGTACCTTTTACTGCATCTAGTATGGTCATAACTGTTGTCTATGGAACTGAACAATCTTACAAACTTGGTGTATCTAGAGCCAAAACATTTTTTTTCCCTTCATTTTAGAAATCTTTCCAATGGGACACAGATGGCAGAAAAACATGACCGTGATTTTACCATTCCATATTCAATCCAAAATTAAAAAAAAAAAAAAAAAGGTTTTGGCTTTAGATATACTTTAGGCAAATGCTTATGAGATGTTTGATATGTTACTAGAAATTATAATTCAAGAAGAAAAATGAAGCACTAACATTTAGAAGTGTTTTAATTCAATTCAGACCCCCTCCCCCCCAAAAAAAGGAAAATGACATGTAAAATCTTAAAATGCATTTTCATGCATGGACAGAAGGCAAAATATTGCACTTTATTTTTACAGTAAGTACAAGTTTTAAAAGCTAAAAACACTTGACAAGCTCATCACATACAGATCATGCTGAAGTTAACACGATATTTAATTTCTGTTAAAAGGGTGGTGTACATTTAAACCCTTTCTTTGCTAAGGTCATCATACCAACCATTTGCCATAGGTCTTTTGTTTTTAGCTATGGTGTGGCTCCTTTGATGCTAGACACAGGTATGCATTGGGTTAAGGCAGCATAGTCAAGTTGATCAAGTAAAAAAAAAATTACATATATTTTACACACGCGTATGTACACACAACGTTCACATTAACCAGAAGTGGCTAACAACAAAATGTGAAAGTTCAGTTTTCCAAAATGTTCATCTAGGGGAGGATTCACGTGTTACAAAATGAATTGAACACCCGACTGTAACGTGGTAGAAGGCAGCGAGTTACAGTACTCCATTTTAGCATTTACAGGTTAAGCAGCAATGACAAAAAAGGAAGCCAGAACATTCGAGAAAAAAAAAAAATAAAATACCGGTACATATACTTGACATCAACAAAAGAAGCATGTGTGAGTAATCCCAAAACCAGTTGCCAGCACTGAGGGATTGCCAACATCACTAAAGAGAAAAACGCTAGGAATTCTGGGAAGCATTAGCCATTTTGGTGCCTGTTCATTTTGAACCTCGTAATGGAAAACGTTATTTTGCTTTATTGGTAAGCCTTTCTATATAGTGCATTGAAAGTCAGACAGTATAGCCAGATTACATGTCCTGCCTTCTAGCCACAGGAAACTGGAAGCAGGGGCAAATTAGTATTTGGTCTCTTATTGCTAAGGCTTGAATGACTTATTAGGGGTTGATGCAGTAATGGATTGCACACCTCTGTAAAGCTAATTAAAAAAGGCACTAACATATGAAAAACATTCCAAACACTCAACATGCTACAGCAAATGCAACAAAAGGGTACAGTGGGTGTGTATTAAAAAAAAAAAAAATGGAACAATATAAAAATGCTTACATGGTTGACAGTACTTACTGCCACAGGTCAGACTGTTTGAATTTGAATCATCTACAAAATTGAGATCCTTACACTAGCCAAGGAGATCAAATGTTTAAACATACCAATGGTAATACATCAAAACCATGGCACCATCCTATATAGATTATAACCCATATGTTGCTCTAAATATCTCTGCAGATGTTAGGACAATGGCGCTCTTCAATTACACTGCAGTGTCTACTGTATAATAAAACCATAAAAAAAATTAAAGTACCACAATATGTGAAATGACGACAACAGTATGATGGCACTTCATTTATCAAATGCGCAGCTTATACATTCAGACAAAAAATTTAAAATTTAAAATGTTATTTGCTGGTGGTAGTAATAAAAAGCCACGTCATAGGTACAAGAGTAACCTATTTTTCAAAGTTGGTTTGCACTTCAAAGTAGTTCAAATGTATTTCTATATATTGACAATTTAGGTGAGGAAAAGCCAACAGTAGCTGATGAGGCCATGTAGATTTACTCAATCTCTCCTCCATTTGCTTAAGTCGTGAGACAGCGGCAAATTAACTAAAATCTAGCCGCCATCTGATAGCAAACACCATGTCCACAAAGCTAAAGGATAAGGACAATACTGTAAAATGCTAGCCATACCTGTCCTAACTCGCGGGTTTTTTTTGTCCAGCAGCTATGCAGACAAAGCGGAGCATCATTACAGTACAAGCAGGTGTCATGAAGGTGTGTTTTAAGTTAATTTCCACGATTTATATAAATGTGTGGGGAGAAATAGAGCAAAAATGTCCATGTCCCAGATTCACACAGTTTTATGGAATACACAAACATCGATCAACTGGGAAATTAATCTCCTGAAGGTTTTAGGAGCAGAAGCAATTAATCAAGTCAGTTAGAGGCCTTCCTTATTTCCTGGAGCAGCTTTAGCCAGTTGTGTAGTTGGTTGAAAATCTGTAGTGCCAGTTTAAAACAGAATAGGCAGCATAAGCATGACATTTCTGCAGAAACAGAAGACCAAAAGATTACACTTTCCATTCTCCAAGTATCATTTTGTACATTCAGTTTTCAGGTGTAGCCAAAATACTTCTAATAAAGTCTGACGGTCCTTGTCCAGAGGCAATATTCCAATTTTTAAATCCCTACCATTAATGGATCCCAGGATGGGGTTTGAGTGTCTGGGTGAACACTATTGATGATTTGGCATGAATTGCACAGAGTACACCTGCAGCATGATGAAAGAATGCTGGAGCAGCCATGATGCATGGTCCTTATGTTATGCAGCCACAGTGACACTAATAAGAGTATGTTGTTTACAAAGTACAAGGCCAAAGCAAGATATTAAGAGTAGCATCCATGTAAAACAAAAGGAAAAAAATAAGTTAAATATTTAAAAAGTACACGTTGAAGTATGAAGAATCTAGAAGTTCTCTTTGAAAAAGTCATGATGGCCGGTAAAGATGAAAACAATGACTGATTTATACGCTGGTCTAGTTAAAATGTCAAACGGATCGAAGGCCACAGATACTGAGTAAGGTCCAGGCATCCAGATCTTGTTAGCAGCGGGCATCCAGGGAGAGCCCCTAATTCATCCCAGAACTCCAAAAGGCAAAACCGAGGAGCATGTGGCTTCTTTATTTTAACCTCTCAATAAGCCCCTGTGAGAGTCCGAGCTGTAGAAGCTGGCTGGTGGGAAGGTGAGCAAGCTGGGGGAAATATTTCAGCAAGTTCTCCCAACACAGTTCTAAGAGGCTGGGGACTACAAGCCAGATTTTAAACAAGGATCCAGTCCTCTTGTTTTGTTGGATATTAACTACACCTCCATGGATATACATACAGCCAGCCTAGAACATAAAAATAAAAGGTGACATACCAAAGCTATGGCACAGGTTACAGCAAAAGTACTCTTGCTGGATATGGTTACATGACACATTCAATCATTAGCAGAAAAAAAATGAAATAAAATGACACATTAGAGGGACGTACCGGGGTAACTGCTGCACAGTGGAAGTATGCTGGTTCAGGCATCAGAGCGGGAAGCTTTGTCCACTGAAATGTCAGCAAGTTTAGCTTCCACAGATCCCCCAAGATTACCTCTCCATTGTAGCCACCGCATATAAACACTTCTAAAAAGGAAGAAGACAGTTCACCAAATATTAGCTAGATTTCCCATTAAACCGGCTGGGTATGTTGCAGATCCCCACCCCCCACTGGTAAATGTAGTAATACAATTATTTCCTCTAGAGACAAAAAGGTGAGGTTGCTGGAGCCTGAACTGCATGTTTGCAGTGTAACTAGATCTCATACTATAATGCAGGGTAGCAAGATAAATATTACCCATCAGGTTCTCTTATGTTTGTACAGCTATCCACTAAGGCCAACAGGACATATTCAAATTTTGATCGGATCTGTATACAATGACATGCATACAGACGTCATTAACCCTAGTTTATTAAATATACAGATTTGTATTGCCGTTTGTGACCCAGTCAGGTGATATGCACTCACTTGCAGTCGTCACTAGCACATAATGCGGGGAAATCTTCCTTCCCAATAGGGACACAGACAGCAATAAAACCCTGACAAAAGGCCTAATCTTTACCTACCCTATGCAAAAAAAAAAGATTTTGTCTGCAGCCAATCGTACGGCAGAAAAACATTAGCGACCCTGTCACCAACTTAAAAAATTGCAGTTAATACATGTACAATACATGTGATCTATTGTGTTTCTATTATGTTAATCGACCTGTAATGCACCTTTAAAATTTTCAGGAAAGTCAGTTCCATAGCACAGCCCACTCCCTCTCCTCTTGTGGGATCATACCATTACTGTCTGTGTTAACCCAGCTACTCTGCCCCTCCCCTTAAACCCCTACATAACCTTTTTATGTAGCTGCCAGAGAAGTGAAGGGGAATATAGCATCATTGGATGACAGCTCTGAGTCTGCTGACATCACATCCAAGATGGCGGCACTTACCAGAAGTTTCAGGACTTTTGGGAGGTCTACACAAGAGAGGTTTTTACAGGTAAAGAACATACAATACATTAAATACACATATAATCATATAAGCTGAAATTAATGATCCAACTACAGGGGCTCTTTAAATTCGATTACTGCCAGATAGTTCAGATTACCTCCCTGCAGCTATTGAACAGTGTTAAACCAAAAAAAAAAAAAAACTCGCCATGTTTTATTTGGACACAACTATGACATCTTCTGGCAGCTGGAAAACCTGGAAGAACAAAAGCAATCAAATAGTATTTGGAGCTCCTTTGCAACATTAAAGTTGACCCAGCATTAAGAAATAAAAGTAAACCCGTCATAAGCAGGCCACCACTACTGCATCTTTGTTGCTTGGCTGTCATGCTGACCTCCTTGTTTCAGTACTTGGTCACCAACCTGAATGCAATATGAACAGGTATGCAGGTTTGGAATGTCAGAGATGTCAACCAATCAGCTTTTTCTCTTCAGTTTATTCAGTTAAGCTTTAAAAATGAAAGAAGCAGATTGGGAAACTTCTTCAGCTGCCTTGAGCAGTGTTGGGCTTCTGCTGTGCTGTCTCAGTTCATGCATTGCTATACACCGTAGCCTCCCATAGGTGGAAACTCAGATAGCTTTGAGTTAGGGAGCACACTAAAAGAAGCGCATTGATGCGGCAGTGTGGCCTTACAAGTATTTGCAAATGTATGCAACTAAGACATCTGTTTTGAATCAGAATTGTTGAAAAAGTTCACCTAGATGGAAAATGTGATAGGAAACCTTTGCATAAAGTGGTAGTATAAGCCAACATTACAGAGTAACCAAACTCACAACAGAAATCAACTCTTTACAGTCAGCCGGATAACAGTACCAAATGTTTGCGTCGTGCGGGGAGGTAGGGGCCGGGCGTCGTGCGGGGAGGTAGGGGGCGGGTGTCGGTCGTGTGAGGTAGGACATAGCGTTCTGCAGTGAGGTAGGGGCGGGTGAGGTGAGGCAAAGGCCAGAGTTCTGCGGTGAGGTAGGCGTTGGTTTAGAACACCCACCTTGTATTGGCTTCTTCTAAAGCTCGCTTAGATCACAATACACATTTGAAGAACAGAGTGCAGCAATAAACCTACCTAGATTTTCATGTGGTTTGGTAGGAATTTCCTCCCAGGTATTTGTTTCAAAATTATAAGCATGGATCTTTTTTGAAAGATGTTGAAGACAAGGGGTCCCCACCACCAACAACAACATTTTCCCCTTTTTCAAAAGTCTTGCGATGGTTGTAAGGTGTGTGCCCAGCCTTACAGTAGATTCAGTGTTGGGACACTGCAGCTTCTTAGCCTGATTAAAGGATTGCTAAAAACAATGAGCAGGCAATGCCTAAAGCCAAAGTTCCTCCAAAATAGCAAAATGACTGCACACTACAAGTAGTATTTCTGACAACAGTTAAGGTGATAAAGTCAAAATGTTTTCAAGTTATTTAAAATGCTGATGATATCACTTACAATGGATGCTGCTCCTTAATGTCTAAGAGTTTGAGTTTTCTGCACAATCAGCTGGTCCCTTGGGCATTGGCCCAGGTAGCCTGGTTTAGGGTGGCTCCTTTGCCTTGCAGGGTCCTATGGGGCCATCCTTGTGTGCACTAGTAAGCTGCGTGGGTCTCTACAAACACATAGGCAAAGCATGGCAAGCCACACCCCTCCCCCCTTCCCTCTTTAAGCTAGTGACTGGACAACTGCTGTACTTTGTGATCTTGTACCGGACAGGAAGCTCAGGGAAGACAAGCTGAGTTTTGGTCTAGGGTGTAAAATAAAAAAAGATCAGATAAATAGCCTTTGAAAAGCATATTTATTGGCTCCGCAATGCATACATTTGATTCAAGATGGTTGACCTCCTAACGCCCATTTTTTATGTTGACCCATGCTCCATATCTTTTTCTTTTGATATTAATAAAAGGCTTTATGCTTTGTGTGTGGGAGTTGATTGATGTGCTTTCCACTTCTACTCATTATGGGAACCACGCTTAGCTTGAAATCTGCTTTCTGCTGACCAATGATACAGTTTTGGAGGGTTTGTTTTATGCTTGCTTATTCTGTGGAGTATTTCCCAGGTAAATTCAAATACTTTGTGACTGTGCAAGAACCAGGCGTTACTTGTTAATTGGTTTTTTTTTTTTCTGTAATGTACAAAACTTTAAGAAAAATTAAAAAATAAAGATACATTTCACCTGATCCTCAGTCCCACAGCGCTGACTATTCACCTCTCTCCCCCTCTGTGGAATGTCCCTCATGTCCAATGCAAGTGAATGGACGCTATGTCGTCACAATTCCCTAGACCACCAGAGCCTGGGGGAGAAGAGGCTGCTGAGACCAGTCTATCAGTCAAGCATGACCAATGATCGGGCAAGTACATCTTTCTTATTTTACACACTAGACCTAAACAAGCACTTAACCCCAGTGCAGGGGTAGCCCCACTGCAAGGGTTAATTTTTTTTCTGCCTTTAGAGTTTGCCCACGTCATCAAAATGGAGCTTATTCACACACACACACACACACACACACACACACACACACACACACACACACACACACACCAACACACACACACACACACACACACACACACACACACACACACACACACACACACACACACACACACACACCAAGATTTATGAACCCTATGTGGCAGTGTGGCCACCCCTTATTACAGGCACATTTGAAATGGAGGCTTGACTTGGCGATAGCTCTTTGGCCTCAGTCCGTGTTTTCAATAGACTGCGCAGAAAGTGAAATAAAAATATGCAGCTACGTGATCAGAGTTACATTTTTCTGTGTTTCACGTTTTAAGTTTTAACAGAGTCTAGGTTGATAGAAATAATAAATACCTTATCTAAGGAATATGCAGTCCAAGATGTTCCACCACCTAGTACATAGATCCTTTGACCATCATGGGCAATTTCATGTCTATACCTAATGAAAACAATGAAACACAAGGTCAGGTGCACTCATCTCCCACATAAAATCTCTATTGCCTTTCTAAGTAGTATAAGATTTGGATTTGCATCACCATAGAATATACTGTACAGCCAAATACCTTTCTTCCGGCAGGTCACACGGTGGGTTGTTTGGTTTAAGCTGAACCCATTCTCTGGTGGAGAGTTCTAGCCTGTGTAGATCTGTACTGTAGATATAACCAGTTGTTCCTCCAAATACATATAGAAAACCATTAATAATGGCCATTGCCTGAAATAGATAACGGAAAATAAAACGTCCAACATTTCTCAGAGAGTAAAGTAATAATCACAGGCATCATATCATCTCTGCATCATATTTTTGGACAAACAGGAAAAAGACAAACCAGGTTCAATTAGCAGACATCTCAACTTACCTATGTAAGAATAAGTACCTGACCTACAACCGTGTTCAAAACAAATGTCCATTTCCTCAATACAAGGACATTTTCTCATGTTTTACCCATTTAAAAACACCAAGTACAGAAAGTACCTGTTGATCTGATAGACATCCAGTGTGATCTTAACTCCCTGTTTGGTCTCGTGACAGTGTCTTTGCTGCAGTAGTATCCCAACCAGTGTTGCTGGACTACAGAACTCATCCGATCTCCTGCTCCTTTGTCCTACTTCAAATGCATACACAGAGTTCCTTCCTAGCAAAATGATGCTACTACCTCGACTCCAAGAGCCAATCCACACACTGTGTATAGGCAAAGGGCTCTTGGCAAGATGCACTTTTTAGGGGTCTAAGTCAATAGAAACTGAGCTCCCAGCAGCTGCCCTGCAATAATTTTACAAGCCTGGGGAACCCTTCACAGGGTTTGAAAGACTGCAGTCCTCATCCTAAAAACACGAGGGGAGGGTGCTCTGTAGTCCATCAGGACATCTTGGAATTTCAATGCAGGAGGGCAGTGTTGCAAACTTACTAGTGTGTCTGTGTCTTAATTTTTCCAAGATATAAAGCATTGATTTCACAACGTGACTGCCTAAATAATATCCGACACTATTGTTACCCGAGCACCTGGTTTCTGACTAGATTTCAAGATGAAAGCATCTACTGGAGGGAAGCAGACACAGCACGGGAGGACAGCAGAGCCAGGAAGATGGTACAACATAAAAAAAAAGTACTAAAATAGTGTGACTGGCTTTAAATCACAGTTTTTGGAAAGCCTCAATATGCTATAATTACAAGTGTATTATTTAGTTTATTATTTGTAACTGCTTCACTCTTGTGTTCTAAAAGCACTCGGTCACAAAGAAAAGCACCTGTGTTCTTAGCATCTAATGAAAGTAGCCATCCCTTGACTCACATGCTGCATAGTTGTTCCAGGGATGTGACTCAGTGAATAGGAGTAGCTTTATTTCCCCAACACTACCCTGTTTCCCCGAAAATAAGACCTAGTACAATTTTTGTGAATTGCTAAAATATAAGACCTACCCGGAAAAAAGACCTAGTTGTGACCATTCCCAGGGCCGGTGGTGGCATAAGGGGGAACTTGAAGAGCAGCAGGAGAGAATCATCGGTGCCAACGAAGCCAGCGCTAGAGGAAGCGAGGCGGCACCAGAGGGAGCAGAGCCGCATAAGCCGATGCTTCCTCTGAAGCGCCGCCTCCTGTCACAGGCGGAGTGATACCAAATGCACTCCGCTTCGCTCATTCTGGTTACCAAATTGCTCTTGGAAAAGTACGGCACCCCTGATTACCATATTTTTGTACATGAATACATATAGACTTTTCTACATGAATAATTGTGGATTGTTGTACATTAACACAAAAATAAGACCTACCCCGAAAATAAGACCTAGTTGTGTTTTTTTGAGCCAAAAAATTTTTAGGCAGTGTCTTATTTTCGGGGAAACACTGTAGTATATGGCACACAAGTTAAGGGAGTTGGTGCTTCCATATGAGCCGGGTCACATATAGAATGTCTTATGATAGATTCCTTTCAAGGTAAATCTAGTTTATGAAAAATAACACAACAAAAATCATCATTAATGAAGATAAACTCATAACACACCTGTCCATAAATGCGGTTGGGTTTCTTTCCTTCACAGTTAAGTTTTTCCCATCTCTTATACTTCACATTACAGACATGAACATCATTACCATTGCTCTCGCCGAATGGGATGCCTGTGCCTCCAAACACCAGGAGGTTGTAGCCATGTAAAACCACTGGAAAGATAAAAACAATGCTGTTAGTTTACCTTGACACATGACAGGGTTTAAAACATTTTTATTTTTTTAATAAACAATCTGATATTACAGGTTTTTGTCATAAAATATCTAGTATTACAAGTAACCTAGTTCTTTCTTTAACCTGGCACACTATTAATATAAACAGATTTGTCCATGACAGACGCAATCTTAAACAGCAGCACTAAGGTAACACCTACAATGATGGCTGAGAACACACATGGGAAGAAAAGATTAAAGCAGAACTCCATCTTTGAACAATGCAAGTATATATACACAGGACCCCTGGCAAGGCCACATAATAGGTTGCAGTAATACTACAGTGTACTATAGTGTCTTCCGGGTCTCTGCTACAGCTGCAATGCTGAGCAAATTCACTGTTCAGTTAAAAACACAGAGTAGCTCACTGAGTGTAGCGGCCAGTCAGAGGATGCCTAGTATTTGTCTCAGATTAACATAAACACCTAGAATATTGCTGTGTGCCCTGCATGAAAACTCAGTGGTAAGCATAATGTGCCTGCCCCTCCTCAGGCCCCATTTCCACTGCGCGATTTGCATATTGCGCGATGCCGCGTTCAAGCTTGCATTGAGCAAGCTTGAATCGCGGCTAAATCCGCTACAAAAAGTGTCCTGCTGTAGCGACACACGACCCGCGACAGCAGGACCCTTTGCCCCATTGGATTGCATTGGAGCGCGATATCACGGGAATTACTGCGCGATAAATCGCTCAATGTGAACGAGTTCTCACACCGAGCGATTTTTGCAGCGATATCGCTCATATTTCCACGCGATATCGCTCTATGTAGCTTCTCCAATCCATGTCAATGGAGCTGTTCACATCTCGTCGCTCAATATCGCTTGTAGCTCCTACATGACCCTTTTTTCGAGTGATTTCGCTCCTGATTGCATACAGCCCAATAGGAAAAAGTTGCGCGACACGTCGCTCATATAAAATCGCGCGATTTTCATGTCGCTCAGTGTGAATGGGGCCTTAGATAGCAATGGCATGCTGAGGAGGAGTCAAACATTGTTCGTTCACATGCGTATGACTGTATTTTTACAGAATGGTTTATGCTGTATAGATGGAAACATACATACACCCCCCCTCCAATACTCACATGACATGGATGCAAGTTCTCGCGGCATATAGCCATCTGTACCCATTTGATGCCATGTTCCTGTTGCAAAATGGTATCGCCAAAGCTCTCTAAAAAGAGGGTAGTCTTCATTTTCTGGCCCACCTGATTCATCATAGTCTGGATTATACCCACCAAACACATATAAATTAGTATTATCTGCCACACATCGGTGCCCACTTCTTGCAGGGGGTGACCTCCGTCCTAGAACACACAAGCACAAGAAAAAAGGATCTTCACGGAGATGGAAGTTAAAGTAGTACACAAATATTTTTACTGATAACCGGCAGTTTCAATAATGAAGACTAGTTTACAAAACTTTGAACAGTGACAAACAAGTAAGGTCTTAGGAATAATTTCTTGACATAACTAGAAGTCAAATGGTCTTCCTCTTATGGTAAACAGATTTATGAAGAGAGGTTGACAAGCAGGGATCAGACTGGTGTCTACTAGATTCCTGTATGGTAAAACAAGCTCGTTTCTCATAGAAGACAAGTCAGCTCCGGAAAACTGGGGAAGAGCAAGGGAAAGCCAGTCTTTAACCTTGAGTAATGAGTGTTGTATTCTTAGGAGAGCAGCTGTACAACTACACTTTATTTTCTCATGAAAAACCTATAATGCTTCATAAAGAAATAACCACCCCGCTTTTTCATTGTTAATTGCTATGGTTTGTATACCTCGTATAGAAAACATGATTAGGACACAGAACAATATTACATATGCAGTATCATTTGACTGATAATCGCTTTTTTCTTTGTCTCTGCCTTTTCCATGTAATATTTCCCACATGCATCACTGTCCCCATATGAACCTCTTACCAAGCCACCCCCTTTTCCAGTTGTAAACACTGCTAAACATTGCCAAAAATATACAGGCTATGAAATAGTTTTTTATCTAGTTGTAAGCTTGAGCCTTATTCCCAATACCTTTAAAAGGGTATGAATGGCAATTATGCATACAACTATTGTTTTGCATTGAAAAACAAAAAAAGAAAAAACATTTTGAAAAGTTGTATAAAAAAGGAAAATATTAAACATTTTGGTAAACATTTCATTTTAAGAAACAAGGTTTCAGACATATGTGAGGACTGCAGAGTGCAGATTTACAGCTGTGAACCAAGACCACAATTTCAGAATCTCAGGGTACACACACACAGCTGAATGAAACAGAAAACTAGTCAGAGGAGGGACACAACCCACTCCTAAGTACAGAGATGCCCTTCTCCACGCCAGTGTAGTAAAGAATCATTATTTCATGCAGTTCTCAACTTTCCTTTCAGTTTAATGACAGGCATGTATGTTCACCACCATTAACCAGTGTCACATACATATTATGTATTATATATACACTGAGTGGCCAGATTATTATGACCACCTGACGTTTGTAGGCAAATTAGCTATAATTAGCTATAATTTTGCGCTGAAGTTGCTAGAGCGCCAGACCATTATAAATAGGGAAGCAGGTTGTTTACCACGACAGTAGAAGTGATTTGTTTCTGAAGATAAGGGTAAACAACGCGATTTAACAGCCTTTGAACGTGGGATGATTGTTGGCGCTCGGAGCCATGGAGCGAGTATCAGCAAAACAGCAGAATTTGTTAAATGTTCAAGAGCAGCTGTTGTTAAAGTGTTTAAAGACTAGACTGTCAGCCGAAAATCTGGGTCTGAACGTGCGAATTGTGGCCGTCAGCGACTAGTCAATGTTAGGGCAGAACGGAGAGTGGCAAGACTGGTACAAGACAACAGAAGGGCAACAGTGCAGTGTCAGATTCCTCGCATCACCTTTCAACATCTCGTGGAGTCATCTTGTGGCCCAACAAAGTACTGATGGGGTGGTCATAATAATCTGGCCACTCAGTGTATA